TAAAGAAATATTTAGTGAAAATTGAAGAATTGGTTTTGCTTAAATTACACTTTAGCCATAAGAAGTTAGCCATAATCTGGTGTTAGCTTCTTATCCTTAAAACAAATGTATCTGCTGCTATCTTCATCTTAATGATAAGGTTTGTGAGAAGTGTAGTCTAAAGTTGTTGAAAACAATACACTAGTAATATCTAATCAATACGGTTTCTCGTCATGCCTCATCTCTCCCTCTCTCATCTACATTGTAGATTCGTCGTGAAGGAGTGCGTTTGTTCTTGCTGTGGATGCAGGCATTACAGAGCAATGCAGAGCGTGAGCAGCTCTGCATGTTTGCCTGTTTGATTCCTGGCTTCCCAGCTCCACTTTGCCATGGGACCCCACGCACCCTGGACACTCTGATCAACCCACCGCTGAGTTTAACAGAGAGTTAGTAGAAGAAACACAAAAACACACACAAAAACACAGTGGGGTCAGGTTAATAAATGGGCTCAACAAACAGCTATCATTAAATACAATTAGCCATTCACTGCACCTGACAAGATATATCACAGATGTATACAGAAATGAGACAAACATCAACATATTTTGCTGTATTCATTGTGATGTAAACATGAAATCTCCCTGCTTTCCACCCTGCAGCTCAGGTTACCCCAGAAGAGATCACTCCATTGGTTCCTCCTCAGTCAGGTGACAAGAACCAGGAAGACCTCACTGCTTACTTTTTAGAAGCTCTACTCAAATACATGGTAAACCAGGTATTATCATAATTTCTTACTAACACAGCTAACACTACATAATTACACTTTTGCAAATGTTGCGATGCTTCACTAATGCCACTAATGCTAAACATATGGGGAAAAATAGCTATTGGGGTTTCTCAGCTATTGACACTGATGTATATGGGAACTTGATGGTAGATTAATTATTCATCTGATCCCTTCCTGGTATCACTAACTTCTTCAAATACAACTCTCCCTTTTTGACAGACTTTGTATTTCCTCTTCTTGCTGCTATCACATGCACACATACATGCAGTCATACACACACTGATAACATTCTCCCCTAAAACAATGGTGCTCTTCTCCGCTTGACCCTATTTTGTGTGTGTAATGCTCTCTTTGTAACACAGACTTGTTTGTCTTTGTGTGTGTGTTTTTGTGTGTTTCCACCAGGCCAAGTCTCTTGAGTGGCGTTGTAAAGAGAACCATGAACGTGGCTTCAGTTTCCTCTTCGGTCACTTCAGGAAGTTTTACCTTCCTCACATTTTTCCCAACTTCGCCATGGAAACAAGCCTCTACAATCCAATACTGGGTCAGTTACATTAGGTCTTTAATAGCTGCTGTATACTGGAAATCCAGTGGCCCATTGGAACACACTGAATGGTAATTTTTTATTACTGTAACCCTAGACCACATAAATAAAGATCCTCTTTCCCTGCAGACGTGCCTCCGATGCGTCCTAAGCCCTACTACAGTGTGGTGCGGAGGGAGCAAGATGGCGGTGAAACGCTGTACTGTACCAAGGAGAGCTTCCTTCAGGCCCGAGTCATCTTTATCCGCTGGCTGGTTTCTTTCTGGCTCGAGCCACGACCCAACACACAGACACACATCCCAGGAACAGAAGGAGAGAACGTTCCCAAGAACATACAGGTAACACACACTTATTTTAGTAGATGTTTGCAGTAGATGTTTTGTTTTGTTCTGTCCAACCAACCAGCAGTCCAAAACATTTTAAAATATTCAGTTTTCAAAATTCTAGACCACAAAGGAAAACTGAAAATAATCACATTGAACAAACTGGAATCATTCTTGAAAAGATTAATCAACATATTACTAGAGCTTTAAATTGTATTCTCTAGTAATATGTGAACTCCTGTTTTTCAACAGGGCATCACTTCCTTTATGGGTTTATGCTTTAAAAAAAAAAGGCTACTAGACTTCAAGTGTTTAAAGCAGCAAATGTAAAAGATTGATGTGATATTAACTAAAAAGGATATTAAATACAATATTTTTAATACAATAGATTTACACATGGCTGACAACTTGACAAATTGTTACTTATGAAATCTCTACAAATAATATGGGGCATTGTATTTTGATTTTTATTTATTTTCTTGCCTTGTTTTATAACTAAAATGTTTACCTACAGCGAGCAGCAGCCGGGCTGGCAGCTCGCTCTGCAGGCAGCTCAGATGACAGTGGTGGAGGCGGGATCCGGTCTGACAGCCACCTGGAAGGTAGCGGCTGCTCATCTGGACCAGGCGGAGGCAGCATGGGGCTATCTGGGGGTTCAGGGCTTGGGGGCGAGCCTGAACAAAGCCACTCCAACACATCAACATTGACAGAGAGGGAACCCAGCTCCTCCTCGCTCTGCTCCATGGATGAAGAGCAGCTGACGGACATGGAGGTGGTGAGGAGAGTTCTGACAAGCTCCAGAACCAACGTCAACTTCATCACTGAGATCTTCAGACAGGTGAAGGATAATAACTATATTTTTCAGGGAGTGGGAAATTTAAGTGTCAAATCTTTGACTAATGCTTTCATTAAGGTTATATATGATTTTATGTGCAGTATCACTGTTTTTCTGTTCTTCATACAATATGCCTGTGCACTTTATCTTACAGCTACCCAGTATCTTTCTTTGGAGGATGCTTTAAATGAAACATAATCACTACACTGAGTTGTGAAGAATTACCTGTTAATATTTATGTCTCTCTGTACCAATACAGGCATTTCTCCTTCCCATGTGCGAAGCTGCAGCGATGCGTAAAGTGGTCCGTGTTTACCAGGAGTGGATCTCCATGGAGGATAGGCCAGTGTTCATGAAGGAGCCAGATGAGGGCCCCTATCCCATAGCCACAGGCGGCAGTCTGGATTCAGGCTCTCAGCTCGGAGACAAGGAAGATGAGGTGAGGAAGTACCTGAAATTAGTAATCGAATTCGAAAACCCTTAAAACAAAAGTAGGCCATGTGAACGGATCTTTGTATAGTGATTTTAACTGGGTTAGTCTGACCAGCTCATTAACAGTAAGATTTTGATAGTCGGTCTCTAATAAAAGGTACCAATCTCATACTTGTACATTATGCTATTCAATCATTCCAATTTCAACATATTTATTAGTAAAATACATTTTGTTTCAGCGTCTGTCTGTTTTTTCTGTTTCCACAGGGAATGAACAAGGCAATTGACAGTGAATTGCTGGAGTATAGTGTTCATGCTGGAGTTCAAACTACACTACAGGTCCTCACGCACTTAAAATGTCTGATGTCTGTCATACATACACAAAAAAGTCTCATTGTTGCAGTGTCTCGTTACTGTTCTTAGAACATCTCAAATGCTTGTCTCCTTTCAGGTATTTATCACCCACTCCTCCAACGTTTTCCTATTGGAGCCGGCAAATGACATCAAGATCCTTTTAGAGGAGCATGTGGACATGTGCAAGCGAGTCCTGAACATCTACCGCAGCCTTGTCATGCATGAGACCATGGACCAGAAAACATGGTAAAAGAAAAAAAGAAGCTGCAAAGACACATGATACATTTCAGTAGAATCGTGGTTTGGTCACATTTGCTTGCTTGTATTTGCTCATGTATTTGTTTGCAGGGAACAGATCTTACTGGTTCTGCTGAGGGTGACAGAATCTGTGATGAAAAGACCTCCATCCATCATGCCCCAGGGCAAAAAGAACAACACACTGTCAGGCAGACTGGCTGGACCTATCTTTCAGGTAAATTTTTATCACTATGATATATTAGACTGGTCAGATATTTTTTCATGGGTACCAAAGATGGACTTTTGTACAGTATTATCCAGAGTATTATCATCATTGTGGTAGAAGGAGACAGAGTTGTCTCTGTGGTACATAAAAAATGAAAGAGTGAATAGGAACGCTGTTGCACTCATAATGAAATTGCTATTGTTTACAGCAACACAGCTTCTGGGAGACAGACTGGCTCTAAATACTTAACATATTGGCTACAAATGCATAACAAAGATGTACTTTGTCTATTATCGGTATAAATTATGTAAAAGCACATGATGCCTTAATGGTGATGTTATAATCATATAATGAAGTAGTTTATTTGAATATGATCTTGGTCTTGGGTTCTCATGTATCAGGCTGCCTTCATCTCTTCTGGTCAGAATACAGTAATGTTATTACTGTTGGTTAAAAGAGGTCCTGCTTGCACAAGGGTGTGTTTTTATTATTAAAAGCTATTGCTGAACACCCTAATGAAGCATAATAAGGTCCAGATACCCAGACCCAGCTGACTAGTATTTAGTTTGGATGAGTAGAGATATGAAATACAATACAAGATAACTTTTTATCATTTCATTCCCTCTTTCTGTACAGACACTGATAGTAGCCTGGATTAAGGGGAACTTAAACGTCTACATCAGCAGAGAACTGTGGGACGACCTCCTCTCCGTTCTCTCCTCTCTTACCTGCTGGGATGAACTGGTCACTGAGTGGTCACTCACCATGGAGACGCTCACCAAGGTACTGGAAGTTATTTTAATCAGGTTATCGTCCAAGCATTATATTTACACTGTGTATGGATGTGAGCCAGCTAAATTACTTAAGTAATTAATTGACACAAAATATTTCATTTGATTTCACTGCCTTGACTAAGAAATGAACACGTTGATATTAATGAATTGCCTCTCAAACAAGTCACAAGTCGCCTCTGTGTTGGCTTTGATTATATCTCTCACATGCTCTGTTGTCAATATGACTGAGACTTATCATATGCATGTTTCCATTCTCCCTCAGCATATGAAAAGCTCTTTGCCTTAAGCTCTGGTTTAAGTCAGGAATGTTGCCGTCTTAACCAGTGTGGCAACATAAATGTGTGTGTGTGTGTGTGTGCGCACGTGTGCGTGTGTGTTTGTCTCTTAGGTGTTGGCCAGGAACCTGTACAGTGTTGATCTGAATGAGCTGCCTCTGGACAAACTCAGTGAACAAAAACAGAAGAAACATAAAGGAAAAGGTGGGTCTGTCACAAGAGAACCTTAAAAACATGCAATAACTCAAATACAGACAGTTGTGTTTGACATGTAATCCCCAGCCAACTGTAACTTTTGAATATAATTATAATCTATATACACAACAAAATAACAATACAACAAATATTGTCCCTCTCCTTCCATCTGCACCAGGTATAGGTTCGGAGGGCCAGCGGCAGATTGTGGATCGTTCCTTCTCTAAAGGCTGGAGCAGAGACCAACCAGGCCAGGCAGCAGCCATGAGGCAGCGAAGCGCCACCACCGCTGGCTCACCAGGCATCGAAAAGGCCAGGAGTATTGTCCGCCAGAAGACTGTAGGTCAGTATCCATCCTCTTTAGATGACTGTCCTCCTGTGCATGTGGGAATTACAAGTTTAAAGGCCAGGAAAACCTGCTATTAGTCATGTTCATGGCACAGACTCCCAGAAATTCTTGTGTGTATTTGTTTTAAACTGGCTGGCATGTGAGTGTTGAAGAGGAAGGCCACTTAGAAAAAAGCAGCACCCTGTCTCTTAAGCGCACTGCAAATAGCTTCTCTTTCTTCTCAAGTCAGTTTTGTGAGACTTGACACCTCCTCCACGTTTCTCCTCCCGCTTGCCTGACAGACAGGAAGTTGTGGTGTATGCTTACTGTCATACCTCCTCCTCAGTAGAGTCTTGTTTATGTGAAGGCTTCCACTCTGGCCACTGGTGTGAAGAAAATGGTCATAACACCACAGTGTACTGAAATACCAGTACAAGCTGAGAGCAAGATGATGACAACTCATAATAAACAGTCAGTCAGAAGATGAAGTTGGGATGTTGAAAACCAACCCTAATGGGGATATTTAGGACCCAGTAAGATATGAAAAACTGTAACTGTAATGCCAAAATTGAAATAATAATATTGTAGACTAGCCACATTAGGAAAACAAATACTGTTCTTATTTGTTACCAGCTAGCACTGCCTGTAGTGCTAAGAAGAAGAAAAAGTCTGCATAATATATTCAATACCCCTAAATAAAAGGACAGGTGCAAAGATAAGCAGCTTCTCTGGGCCTGTAAGTGCATTTTATGTGGTTCAGCAGCACTTGTACAAACTTTAAAAGTGTGCTTTTCAGAGTGTCCGCAGTCTCAAATCCAATAATCAGAATATTAGGCCTTAAAAGGTCTTTAATATGATTTTGACAGGTCTTATTTCTGCATTTTTCAGCATCGCTTTTAACTGTTTTTTTGGCAAAAAATTGTATTTATCGTGCTGTAACAGCAACAAAACAAAACGGACATGAAACCAATACTTTTTTCTTTTTTTTTTCCATCATATCCTTTGCAACTCTTTTGGCAGTATGGACGTAAAATAGGTCTTACATTGCATTAATAAGGGTCTTAAAAAATCTTGACCTGTTGAAACCTGCAGAACCCTTGGCTTTTCCTGTGAGAAATAGGAGTATGTGCAGTAGTTTTCAATTGCGTATTCGCAAAAAATCATACACTTACACGGACAACCTTATTTTGTTGTGACTGCAAGTTAACACATTAACCTTAAAACACATGCTGCCCCTGTGTATCATGGTCTCGGGAGGAGATTTAAGCTTTACAGAGTGCCAAGCTGCCATCAGCCTCTCACTGTCTTTCCTCCAGAGCTAACCCTGTATCACTCCTCCTTCACCTTCCCTGTCTCTTTCCCTGTCTTGCTTTGCCTCAACCCCATACATAATTTCTTTCTTTTATTAATTCTCACCTGTCTCTGTCTCTTATTCTTTTTTCCCCAACACTTCCTCAATTTAACTTGTGTTTTTCTGTCTTTGCTCCATTGTGGTCATACTTTTGATACCTCATTGTTTTCATTCTTTTCACTTTCCCGTCCTCACCTTACTTGTCTCCTATTGCTTCTTTCTTTTATTCCCTTTTTTGCACTCCTTTTCTGTCTCACACTCTCCCCCCCTATACTCTCTCTGTCTCTTCTATCTGTTCTTCCCACCTCTTCAGCCCTGCGTAGCTGTTCTACGGGGGACTCTCTGCTGTCCTCAGCCTTTATCCGCAGTGCTAAGAGTGCTCCTGCTCTGGCTCCGCCTCTTCCTGTCCTTCTCCACCACCACCACCCTTTACTACCCCCCCTTGCCGACCAGCTGGCAGGTACACACTCTTCGCACTACCGGTCTGCCTGCCTGCCTTTCTGCCTGGAGACATTACTTGTCTGTACGTCTCTCAAAAACTGAAACTTTATGCCTGTCGTCTCATCTAGTTTTTCCGGCCATCTGTTTGTCATTACTGAAGCAACAGTTTGCATGTGGTCCATCAGGAATCATATAGCCCTTTAGCTCATTTTTGACCTGTACTGGGGTTATCAGTGTGGTTTTGAGAAATGCTTAAACATCCAAGATGCATCATTCTCCTGAAGCTGTGCAATAAACTCCTCAGCATTGCTTGATATTTTGCATGTGATAAAGGGATGATCAAGGCATATTGTAGCACTTGAATGACCATTTTTGTCATTTTGAAAATACAGAATGAAGAGCTATTTATGGTTACTGTCATGATTTTAACATTAGTTGGTACATTTGAGTTCTGCATGGTGAGAGAATGAAATATTGCCTAGCCAATATAAAGAAGGACATCTGTCATTTTGACTTTATTCTACAAATATTTCACTATTATTTAACTATTCGATGTGAATTGTACATTTTTTACAGGTAGATGGAGAACGTCATGCGTCTATGTTTGTTGTTGTCTGCATGAAACTTGGCCTACCTGTTTCCCTGTCGGCTTGCTTGTTTCTCTGCTTGTTAACCTGCACACATGCTCGTCCCTCTGTCATGTATTTAACTCTTAAATGTTTTCTGCACATTACAAGCATTTAGTTCTCCCTTATTTCTATGCCCTTCTCGCCAATCTCCCCATCACTGATGCCATGTGGTCTTTAATTTGATGCCATTTATTCTTGTGATGGCATTTAACTTAACTCCTCTCCTTCTTTTCTATAGACATGATGGTGATGATTTTACTTTATCATATCGTCTTCTAGAGTGATTTTACTTATATTATACTTTTTGTATAGTGTGTGTGTGTGTGTGTGTGTGTGTTTTGTTTTGTGATAGATAATTATAGCTGTGTAAGAGTTTCCATTTATTTACCATCTGACATCCGACCAAAGAGAAAACAGACATATGGTCATAATAAATGTCTCTACAGGCAATGAAAAAACTCTACTACAATGGATTTGGGTTTCTTACAATTCAGAAATATGTGATTGAGGTTAACATCTCTCAACAAGGAGTGAGTGCATGTCCTTTGTCTTTTCAAAGGATAGTTATTGCTCATATCACTACAAGTCAGTTGCTATTAGAATGGCCAAAGGCCTTCTGCTCAAAGTTTTGAATAGTTTTAAAGCAGGCATTTAAAGGGGAAGTGTTTTTTTCGTCTTTGTGTATAAATGTCTTCAGTGTTTGCTGGTTAATGCTGATTAAGTTGTAAGAAACTGCCACCATAAACGCTGCTCTGATATGTCAGCTGTATCTACAATGTGGCACCATTGTATGGATACCGATTTTGACTTTAAAAAAGGAAGGTGGTCAACTCATGACAACAACAGTTACCATCCAGGAGTTTATCAGTTTCTACTTCTCGGAAACTTTTTATTTTATACCAGGGCTTAACAACAGATTCTCATCCCAGCTTGATAATTAACTACTACTATACTACTGTATATGATCGTCTGATATGAATCCAGTTTACATTTATCTCACTAGGCTCAGTTAACTAATGACTATGATGTAGTGACTTGATTAAAGACCATATATCAGATTGCTTCAGCACTCACTCTTTCGCACAGAGTCAGTGTGTTGGGGGGGGGCTTGTTTGTTTGTTTTTTTGTTTTTTTTAACCAATCTATAATACAAATATATTGTAAATTGTCTTGTAGCCTTGTCTAACCACTTCAGAAATGTTGTGATGCTTAAGAAGGTCATATTTATAATACTTTCTGTTTTGGTAACTTTTTTGGTCTTCACTACAAGTGAGTGTATGTCTGTGTGTGCGTTTACATATATCCATTCCCACTTTCCCCTCCACTAACCTTACTCCCTTTCTCCATTTTCCCACAATTACCAGACCTTGAGGACCCGCCAATCACGCTGACATCCCGTCCCTCTCGGATGCGGCACTCCTCCCAGAGTGACGAGGCCCCTCCCACTTCCTGTTCTGAGGTCTTCCAGGGAGTGGCTTGTGACCTGGATGCTCCGGCCCCTTCGTCCCTTGCAAGGAGCAGCAGTGCCTCTGACGTCATGGAGCCTTTCATCGCAGAGCGGGTCAAAGGTGAAGACCCCCTGAGGGATCCCGCTTCGATCCCAAATTCCCCCCACCTCCACTCCACAACTTCTTCCTTACTGGCAGCCAAAAGCCACGCAGCTCAACCACTCCCACATCCCCCCACCTCTCCCTCTCCCACTCCTTTTACCTTTTCTAATGATGGTGCTGTCTCGTCCTCAGAGGGACAAGATGATGATAATTCTTATGACCAGTTCTGGCAGCAGATTGGCTGTCAAAGCCAAGGCTCTAGTTCTGATTGGGTAAGTGACTGGGATTCTGCCTTTGCCTGTTCATCTGAAAAGGAAATCGATGTAGAAGAGGGTGAGATCGGGGCTGGGGTAGAGGAGGAGGATGATTTATTCTCCTCTATTAGGGACTATCTCACTCACAAAGGAGGTGAAAGGAAGGAAGAGGCAGGAGATAAAGATAGTCTTGGTCATGTACTCGAGAACAGTGTTGTAACTTTACCTACGCCTGTGCAAACAGGGGTAGCTAGAACACAAATGGAATACACAGGACAGGTAGGAGAGGCAAGACAGGTGGTGAGAGAGGACAGACAGACTTGTAAACAGGACAGACAGGTAAGTAAATCTGTGAGACATAGCAGTGTGGATTCAACAGAGGAGAATGAGGCAGAGCAGCGGAGCATCTATGAATGCCTGGAGTTGCAGTGCCAGTGGCCGTCACCCAATGCAAGGGGGAGTGCTAGCTTAGAAAGACACAGTGGGGAGAAAAGGGGAGTAGGAAATACAGGAAGGGCAGCAGGATGGGAAGGGAAATGTGACTTGTCGAGAGAAATGGGAGAAGAGAAAGAGGATGATAAAGAAGCAGCATTAAAAGAAAGGTCCAGTTTAATTAGACAAGACAACGCATTAGATTCTAGCACCGATTCAAATCAAAGTGCCCAAACTTCTGACACAGCTAAGGCCAAGATGTCCCGTAGTAGCACCAAAAGGCACCATTCTGGTGGGGTTCATGTTAGCTTCCGGCCCTCGACTGAGTCAGTCCAGTTCCACAATCCCCTTGAGAGTAAAGAGGCCCACTGGAAAGCCCGGCTGCGCCGCCTAAGTCACTTCCACACACACAGCCACTCAGCTGGGGAGAGGTCCGGGGCCGGAGCTGGGGCAGGGTCAGGTGCGAAGCAGGGAGCAGGGGCTTCAGGTAAGTTTGGCTCTGTAGCTGGGATTAGCCATAGAGCAGGAGCTCATGAGAAATTAGCCACTGGGACTGTAACGGATAACAGCGGGAACACAATTGCTGGAGGCCTGGAAAGCAGGGCTGGGACTGGAGGGGACAAGGACAAGCAACATCCTGGATCCTGTGTGGGATCAAACCTGGGCTCTGAGGCTCCCTCAGAGGCGTCTTTAAGCAGTTCAGGTTTCTCTGGCGTGTCGTCAGGGGTGCGTGGCCGTTTGGGACGTTCTGCCTTGCGATCTCGAGCCTCCCGCTCTCGCTCCCAGGAGCCCGGCAGCACTGCCTCACGACACCACCAGGGGGCTCTCCTTGGTGGCGTCTACAAGAGTGTGGTTCACGCTCTGTCCTCAAAGCCCCGGCCCCGGGGTCAGGGGTCATCCCAAGGCTCGTCGCCACAGCGGCAGGGCCGGGCCGCCATGGGTGACGCATCGCTAAGAGACCTCTACTCCCACGTCCTGGGCTACTTTGGACGAAAGACGACTACGCCAGGTGAGGATTGCAACGAACGAAGCGCTCACAAAGGACACAACAGATACAGCAACAGCAACAACAACAACAACAACAACAACAGCTACTTTGGAAAGACCAATTCGCACCAACACACAAACACCAACAACTCTCTTTTCCTTTTTGGCTGTTTTTAACTGGTTTGTTATGATGGAATGATGTTTTTTGGCTGACACTCATCATCTTGCTGCAGGACTGAAATTCAAACTCCCTGTTGATGTGCTTCCTCTTGAACGTAGCCCCTCCTCCAGCCTGCCTCCTGTCAAGGAACCCCCCTCCTCCCATACCTGTTCCTCTACCTCGGAAGCCCCCTCCCCCCTCCTCTTGTCCTCTTTCTTTGGGGCTTTGGGATTTTAACCTACTTTCCTCCTTCCCCTCTTCTCCACCTCCTCCTCCCTCTCCTCGATGTTGCATGCGGCCTCGTCGTGCCTCCTTCGCCTCCTCCCTGGACTCCGGCCTTTCTTCAGCTGCACAGGAGGAAACAGCAGTCCACAGAAAAACACAACTGCCCATAGAAAAGATAAAAGCAACAATAAAAAGAAAACATACCTGGCTGTTATATTACCTTATAGAAAACTCCCTTAGAGCTTTGTTACATTTAAATGTGCAGATATGAAAGTTAAAGGTAAATGAATAATTATTTTACAAGAGCAAACACTAGTTTCTACATTTGTTACCATATTGCTGTAGTTCCCTCTCAGACCACTAGAATGCAGCATTAGACCATATGTGAGAATGGCCGTCTTAATAATAGTGGTACACCCATAGAATTTGAATGGATAAGAAAAGGTATGCACTTTCAAATTAACAATCTTGAATGGTTATTTGCCTTGTACACTGCCACAAGATAATATCAAACATGATTATTGGTAAAGTCCACATTTGAATCAGCAGCACAAATACCCTTTTTCTATTCATTCTAATTCTCAGGGCAGCACACTGCAGAACTGGGTTCAAGTTATTTTGTCTTGCGGATCAGATGTTTGATGTGAGCACAGTGATTCATCAGCTGAATCTGTATTGATGTGGAAATACTGTTGCGCAGCCACATTTTTTCCTTTCCTTAATTTATTCAGGTGTCTTGCTTGCCAAATGGTAGCTACCACCGTTGGCTATCGTTTGTTTGTTTGATTTGTTGACTTTTGTGCCAGATGTGTGGATGTTGCTGCAATAATACTAGACGCCAGAATTATTTGATATGATAGTTCAATTTGAAACAGCATTCTTGTGTGGATCAACACTATTGACAGCAACTTTACTTGAATCTGTGAATTTAGTCAAACTCCAATCATCTGGTACTCCATGCAAACTAAAACCAGATATTATGTGCAGTGACTGTCTGGTTGTCTGTCTGTCTGTCTCTGTGTTGAACTACTTGATCTGTATGACTGCTGATGGTTATGCATAATCCTTGTTCTATGAACACAGGTGGATCTTAACAACAGAACTTCACAGATCATAGCACTAAAAAGTTGCATGTCTATGCTCAGCCAATTAGAATGAACTTGCACAACCACATGGGCAATGCCCCTATGAAAGGGAGCCATCTTCCCATTCCTAATTGAAGTGAATTGACAGTGAAGCTTATGTTCCAGTGGTGCCGCCGCTTGAGTGTTGCAGGCTATGTTGCACTCCTTAAGACTATTTGCATCCTCACAATAGCTACCTTTTTTGCAGAACTACAATGAAGCTTGAGGGTTTTCACCCTAAACTCGGCAGATCAGTAGGTTTTAACTACCACCTGTCACCTGTCAGTTCTCTGATCTGCTCTTCTGCGCAGTGCTATCAGAGTTGTAGCATAATCCATTTGTGTTGTTTCTGATCCGGAACTATCTCTCTTATGAGAATAGCAGTGACTAGTTCCTCAGTGGCTAGTTACTTAGCAGGAAAGCTTACATTATTGCATTTGAGAGCTTTGGGGAGTCATTGTTAAACACTGAACTCCATAAGAGGACAGCAGTTCTCACACAGGAATGGGCTCATCCTCATGGGCTGAGCACATGCAGAACATGCAAGTATTCTTTGTACAGACCCGCAGAGGCAAGTTGTCAATTCTGTAAAGCCATGCTAGAGGGCAACGGTTGTGTGAAATGTAACTCTTAACTATCAGCTAACATCACAGCTTAGTGCTACTTCTTACTTGAACCACAGTGTTAACCCTTTCATGCTGTAGACCCAGTGTGAAATACATTGTATATGTGTACATAAGAGTATTAATTTATTGGGCCTTTACTGATAGATTTATGTAACTGAGAAACAGATTGGGATCTTGTAGTTCAGGCCAACATATTGTCACACATGTCTCATTCCTGTTGTTGGTGATGTCATGGCAAATAACCATTACAGCCCAATAGGCTACATATAGACACGCCTGTCTTCAGGGTATTTTCACACCCAGGCTAAAAAGGATAGCTGAATAACCTTCTGTAAGGGAGGATGCTTGAAAATAGTCAGCTAAGTTAACTTGAACAAAATTCAATTTGGGGATGTTGTTAATAAAGTTAAGTTTCTTTGCTGCTTATTTCAATTATGTCCATATTTTCACAGCAGCAAGCTGCTGATTCCTTCTAATAGGCAGTTAAAACTTAAATGACAGAAAACTGTCTTGTTCTGTGGTTATGGTGTAAGACTGGAGGTTTCCAGGTTTCTGAGCTTTATTGATCATAGACCTGGTATTGGGCTGTGGAAATAACCAGGCTCTGTCCGCTTTATCAACCACAGGTTCAGGTATTACAGATTACCTGGTTAATACTTAAGGCAGCATATTCACTCTCATCTGATTTGGGATTGATGGATGCTCACACCGACCGCTGCCATTGCTACCAAGTTAACAGCAACATAACTCATAGTAACCATAACTACTAATGTAGGCATCTGATATGCTGCCTGTTTGGACCTAACAAGGTGATACTCTCTCTCGCTATCTGTGCATGGTGTGAATTAACTCCTGCATTGCTTTTTTGGTGGGTTTGCCTGCTGTGTTGTGGCTTTTTATTTTAACAACCAATCTTTTGCTAACTTCAGTGCCTACAGTACATACACATCAGGACTGCTCTTACAATTAAGAGAGAAGCTCCAGTTAGTGTTGTGGATATTGTGACACTTAATAACACATAATATCTGAACACTTAACTATCAGATTTAGAAAGGAAGTAGATAGGCTAAATTAAAAACAAAAACTCAATTATAAATAGACCGGTAGTACAAATAATCTGTTTTAATGGACTTGTCACCAATGTCACCAATTCAGACTTGATTATATCTAACAAACTCCTAAATGTTATTTCTCAGTTTTGTGTGTTTGAGGTGTTTTATGTGAGTATGGATCTGTCACTGTCTACCATCGTCTATTCATTTCTTTCTATATGTATTTGTCAACATCTCACTTGTCTGTGTGTGTAACTGTGAATCCATTTTTCCATAATTTCTGTGTGTATGTGGGTACTCTGTCTTTGACTATCATCATACATCTGCCTGTCTGTCTGCCTCTAGTCAACAAAGAAGAGGTGGTACAGAAGGCTCGTCCAGTCTCCAGCGACGTAGGAAGCACCAACCCAAACTTCTCCGACCTCATGGATGAGTTTATCCAAGAGAGACTGAGGGCCAAAGGGACAGCAGTGAGTACAACATACACACTGATTCAAGATTTGAGGTTCAGAGTCATAAAACGGAGAAGCTGAAACTGCTATGTCTTTGCGATACACAGGGCCGTCGTGGCAGCAGCCCAGGAAGTCTGGAGGTTCCCAGGGACCTGCCGGAGCTCCTAGAGGCAGGCCAGAGTCCCGGATCCCGTCCTTCAGATGATCTCCGTCCCATCGATGATCCGGGCGTTCCCTCTGAATGGACGTCACCTGCAAGTGCCAGCGGCTCTGATGTCATCAGCTCAGACAGCCAGTCAGACTCCTTTAATGCCTTTCAGTACTCCACCTGCAAGTTTGAAAGTAAGGAATGAAACACCTAATACATACAAACTGAAGCATATATAAATCATAATTTGAGGTTTTGCCGTACGTATGTTTTTTTATGTTGATGGAAATAACGGATGAAAGAGTTTATCTTGATGAAGGAATGTCTAAGCTGTTGGATCAAGGTATTTACACTATCACTACCACCATTACTACCTTTAACATAAATCTAGGGGGAAACCATGATTTCCCTTAATTTGGAAACCTTATAAAACCCTTATATAAGCCCTGATAGATGTATAACGGTCAACATTTCTTCTGCAGATTTTACTTTCAGTTCGGAAGCATGTGGAGGAGGAGCTGGATCGGGAGGCGGAGGTCGAGGTAGTTCCCTGGATCAGGACAGCCTGGGAGGGGGTGTGGCCTGCGAAGAACATGAAGTAGCCAGTTTGACAACGCTTCACCTCGACTCGGAGACCAGCAGCCTCAGCCACACTGTCACTGTTACTGGTACGCACATGACAAACATGACAATAGATCTCTCTAGCTACTGTTTTAACATAAAATAGTAGGGTAAACACAGCTATCACCAATGACACTAATTAAGGTTCTGGTCTATTCAAGTTAAACAGAGTCAGGAAGCTGCAGTTGTCCATGTTGGCTCACTGAAAAGGCTCTGCTACAATTGATGCAACAGAACCTTAATTAGTGTCATTGGTAACGACCTGTGTTATACCTACTTATTGTCACTAACCATCTTACATGGCAGATATATGGCTGCTGTGAAATGGCTTATTAGGGTAATATTCATGTGCACACAAACCAACAGCCTAAATATTACATATTATTATTATTAATTGTGTGGATAGGTTTTGAAATCTCTCTCGAATGTGATGAAACGGCTACATATTGTTACTCTAACAAGCGGTTTTACAATTTGGCTGACAACTCCTGAACTGGCTGAATTGGCAAAGAATTCAGTCTCCTGGATTACTCAATTTTAAAAAAAAAAAAAAAAAAACTGTGCAGGACTTGTTTTTCAAATGTCCATTTTTCTCCTTGTCATGTGTACTGTATATTTCTTTGTCCAGGTTCTGAGAGTGCATCTCCCATGCACTCCCTTGGGGGCTCTCGCTCCCAGACGCCCTCCCCTGCCACACTGACAGCAGAGCACACTGATCACACACACTCTCACTCACATACACACCTACAGCTGGACCAGAAGCTCCACAACTCTGTCCTGCAGACACCTGATGACCTGGGTAATACTCACACAGACATTCAAACATCCTTCTGCTGAGGTCTCAGCTGTGAATGAGAGGCTGGGGTTACTGACTGATTCATTGATTGATTCTAGAAACCAGCGAGTTCCCCAGCGAGGACTGCAGTGTGATGGCGGGTGGCACTCTAACTGGATGGCACGCAGATGTTGCCACGGTAATGTGGCGGAGGATGCTGGGTATCCTGGGGGATGTCAATAGCATCAAAGATCCAGAGATCCATGCTCAGGTCTTCGACTATCTGTGTGAACTGTGGCAAAACCTGGCCAAGGTGCATACTGACACACACAACTATGACACAACACTTTCTATAAATATTGTGTTTTTTGTGTAAAAATGACACTTTTCTTTTCAGATAAGAGATAATTTGGGCATTTCTCTGGACAACCAGTCGTCACCCCCTCCCCCTGTTCTGATCCCACCCCTGAGAATCCTCACCCCCTGGCTCTTTAAGGTAGGTGTGACTGTGGGATCACTATAGGACCTCTGATGTTCATTACATTGAGATCTAGTTACACAGGAGTATGAGAACCATTTTTATTCTTGTACCTTTTACTTCACTTGTTTATGCTTACGTGTGTGTCTGTGTGGGTGTTTTTCCTAACAGGCCACCCAAATGCTGTACAGAGCGTTACCGAAGCCCAGGGGAAGCTTTTCATGCCGTAACAAGCTGATCTGCAGGATCATGAAGAGACGGCAAGATGTTTCCCCAAACACAGATTTTCTCACACACTTTTACAACATCATGCACCAAGGACTGCTGCACCAAGACCAGGTAGAGTGTGTGTGCAAGTGTTATGAAAGTAACAAAAATATGAACCACAAAAAAATACATTTAAAGACAATACACAAACAAACCTATTTTATTATAGAGTTTACAAAAACTATTATGTTAAGATAACATTTTTACAGTACTTAAATACTGTATCACTCTTGTACTCCTTAATAAACAAAATGTATAATGTTTATGAGTTAAAGTTTACACTGCTTAAGATTAAGGAATGGAATATGGGCTTATTTGTAAATGTACTCCAGCTGTAGTGTGTTTAAAGCAGCATTTGTGGTGTCTACAGGACATTGTGAACACCATTATAAAGCACTGCAGTCCCAGGTTCTTCAGTATCGGGCTACCTGGAGCCACCATGCTGATCCTGGACTTCATCATTGCAGCTTCTAGAGTCACCGCCTGCTCATCACTAAATGTAAGACCTGTTTACACACATGTACAGTACAAGCTGACACATACAGTGGATGTGACGTTTCTTCTATCCTTCTTTATGCTTTCTTTTTGTCTTTATCCTTCCCTCTACTTCCCAGGCTCCAAGAGTAGAGGCCCAGATCCTGCTTGGATCTCTGGTGTGTTTTCCCAACTTGTATGGGGAGCTTCCAGCCCTCCATCCCACCACAGCTGACGTGGTGCTCACCAAGTTCCCTGACGTCAAGGTAGGTGGAAGCAATAGTAGTTTCGGTTTGAGGGGAAAGTCATAAAGCCTCTGTCCTTCGGTAGTATCATTATTCTTTGTGATAGTATAATTGTAAACCACTGTAGATTAGGGAGAAGAGAGGAATAATGCCAAAAAACTGTCACCAAATCAAAACAAGTCAGCATGCTTTAAAACTATCATCCACCAAAGCATCAGGTCAGACACTTAAACCAAACTTTATCTACTTTGTGTGTAATCCAGGTCAGTCCAAACCTTGTAATACATATTTCTGCCATCCATAGGGGGTCTCGGAAACCAAACTAATAGGTTAATGTCTCATCAGTCATTCTTGTAACAGTCCAGAGCTATGGGAGTAATGTTGTTATTGTTGTTGTTGCTGTATAAACCGTTAATGCCATGCGTGGTAGCAACTCAGGCCCGCTCACTGGTTACTTACAAGGCAGAAACTCGTTTTGAATCAGTAAGCGGCCATTAACACTGACCGGAGGGACGGGATCAGTGAGTGTGTGAATGTGTCTGAGGGTGTGTGTAGGTAAGTCTGTATCTGTCCATGTTTAGTGCAGCATGTTTGTGTTTCATGTATATTAACACCTCCGTAATGTAAGTCCCAGAATCACTTTGCTCATTATCTGAAAAACAATCAGAGTGTTTGAGCACTTAATCAGTCTTTTCATTATACACTCCCGGAGAAAAGGTTAACTTTGTGTGTGGGCCCTTCACATATGGACAGAACTTACTGGTCAATGAAGGCCCAAATGCAATAAGTACCTCAAACGAAAAGGAAGGAAATCGATTGTAATGGACTGGCAGTGGCAAAATGTCCTTCCTTCAAATACAGCCACTGATGTTCATGTTGTAAATTATGGCCCATTTAGAGTAAAATACATGAAAATGCAGGGTGAGTTTTAGGGGGCGTGGGAAATAGCCTTATGATTGACAGAGTCATTCGCCAGCGAGTCCCTCCCAGCGCAAACACCATAAAACTGTAAAACTAGACTGTGCTGTTTATCTGTACACAGCCCAACTCACAGTACGTCACCTACCAGCTCCATGCTGTTGTCCAAATATGGTTACTTCTGGTTCCAAAACAGTAATGAGTGAGTGACATCACAGTGGGTTTACACTTGTGCAAAACCAGTGCTTTGTATTGTTTTAGGCAAATAAACTGAGTTTGTCTGTATGCTTTGTTTTTTAGGAGCATGTTATCAAAACCATCCTGACCTCTGCCAGGGACGAACCCTCTGCTCCTGCTAGGTAAGTGTTAGACCATCTGACTGCACCTGTTTCTGTTCACTGCTTGCCAATGTGTTTTTGTTTTCTGTTGGTTGGTGTGTGTATAAATTGGGTGTCCATTGAATCAGTATACATCATTTGTGTGGCTCTTTGTATGTGTATGTATTTCTGTATGTGTATAACAGCAGCATGTATTCACAGGTTTCTCATACTATATACGTTTTGTTTTAGGTGTGTGGCTCTGTGTAGTCTGGGTATCTGGCTGTGCGAGGAGTTGGCTCATGGGACTCAACATCCACAGATTAAAGATGCTCTCAACGTCATCTGTGTCACTCTGAAGGTCAGTCACAACACTTTACTGCTTTTAAAAGCATTGGCTTTGTTGCATCCAGGCTCTAAAATTCAACTTCATGAACTTTAAACACAAACTATAAATTAGTCATTGAAATATAAATCTGTAAGGGTCACCCGAGCGGAATAAGATTATCTCATACAGCCTTTGGCCTCTGTCTGTTCAAACTTTGTCCCTCCTGACCACAATACTCCCTCTGTCTCTGATCCAGTGGGATCGGACCAAAGCAATGAATCTATATCAGACAGACTGCTGATTGGCCGCCTGTTACACTGATCTACACTGTAGTGTCTGAACATCTGGTCCTCTTCTGTCTGGATTTTTGATTAGGCCTACTTTAGTTAAAAAACACAACATTAATAAAACTTTAAAGATAGTAAAGTAGTAAAATCATGAAAGCGGGTTATGTAAAAGTCAAATGTTAATTGTACATTTTCATTCTTGTTTTTGCATATTTATATGAAGTTTGATGTCACACAATGAGAGGACTGAACTTAGGCACAACATTTGTATGTGTGGTTAGCCTGCTGTCATCCAGTATTTTATTGCTTTTTCAAACTTCAGAATACTCATCCATAGACACTGTATAATAACTGTTGTTCTTTTAATGCATTCAATTGGAAAACACAAGACAACACAAAGACAATCAATTGGATTAGAAATCTTGCTTCAAATGAGGGAGGGTGGAGCTGGTTAAAGTGATTTTAAACACACCAAAATACTGCCTGAAAACTGGACATTTGGGGTGTTGATGTGTTTAACATGTCGGGCTGCTGGGAGCCAAAGTATGATGGAAAACATTGTTGGAGATGATTGTTAGTGTTGGTGAAATTGCCTCAGTTGGTATTGTCTGTTTCAGGCCACTAGACTGGGAGGCCTGTGGACCAGAATAATACTGTCCAACATTTACTGTCTCATCTATGGCCAAGTGGCTCTAGATGGACACACACAGACACACACCACACACACACAACCAACACACACACACACACACACATACCTTTTCCACCTTGGAATCCCTAGCTTGTGTATCGGCAGCCAATGGCTTGCTAAGACATTACAGCAACACACACACTTGCATTCACCTACTCCTGGGAGCAAACCCTGGACTGTCAATATGTTTGGTCCTCCTTCAGATAGGAGACTAATCCAGAGGGAATGCTGCAAGCTCTCTCTCTCTCTCTCTTTTCTTCCGCGGTCTCTCTTCTCCCTTCTTTCTCTCTTTCTTGCCCTCTTCTCGCTCTTTCTTTCTTTCTTCTTTCTTTCTTTCTTTCTTTTTTCTCTTCTCTCTCTCTC